GACGAGGCCCATTTCACACTCTCTGGCGCCGTTAACAAGCAAAATTGCCGCATTTGGGGAACGGAGAATCCACACGAGATCCATGAAACACCATTGCATGACCAAAAAGTGACTGCTTGGGCCGGCGTTTGCGCCAAAACCATCATTGGGCCATTTTTCTTCAGAGAAGGCGAAACAGTCGATGGGAATCGATATCTGTGGATGTTGGCTCATTATGTGTGCCCACAAATGTGTGAAAAAGGTCTGGACGGTTACTGGTTTCAACAAGACGGTGCGCCATGCCACACTGCAAATCAAACAATGCAGTTTCTGCAACGAAAATTCCCTGGACGTGTGGTGTCAAAAAATGGCGACATTGACTGGCCACCCAGATCTCCAGATTTGACCCCTCCGGACTTCTTTTTGTGGGGTTATTTGATAAGCAAAGTGTACGCCAGCAAGCCTCAGACCATTGACGAGCTCAAGGCAAACATTCGTGCCGAAATCATCGCTATACCGCCCGAGATGCTCGAAAAAGTGATGGAAAACGCAGCAAAAAGGGCACATTTTGCTTTGGCCAATAAAGGCGGCCACTTGATTGATGTTGTATTCAAAAACTAGTCCAAATAAATTGTAAAGGACCAAATTAAATAAAAATACCTCATATATAGAAATCGGTTGTTTTTTTTTAAAGTTATTCAATAATCACATACCGACATAAAAGATGGCGCACCTTGTATATGTAATGTCCACGAAACATACAAAAATTGAGATGGTCGAAGTGGAAAAAAAAAGGTGGAAAAATAATAATAGCCCTATAACAAAGCCCAACATCGTTTTGGAATACAAGAGGGTATGGGTGGAGTGGATCTGCAAGACAGTTATTTATCGTCTTTTAAATTAATGAGAAAATACGTTAAAAGTTATAAAAAGATATTTTTTTACATAGCAGATATGGCACTGCTCAATTCACATGTTTTATATTGCAAAAAAATGGAAATACCAAAATGTAAAAAGTATTCTTTTTCGAAGTTTCGAATCGATGTAGCCGAACAAATTTTAGAAACAGTATGTCTTCCTGATTACCAAAGACGTGGAAGGATATCTGCTGGAAACGCTCGGGATCGCTTACAAGTGAAGCAATAGGGACATTTCCCAAGAAATATACCGCCTACAAACGCCAAAAAAAATCCACAACGGAGGTGCGTAGTATGCGCTAAACATAAAAAACGGAGTGAAACTACGTGGGAGTATGAAAAATGTCTTGTAGCGTTACACATTCCAAGCTGTTTTGAAAAATATCACACTCTGCAAGATTATTAATAAATAAATTTAGTATTGATACACATGTAATTTTATCATCAGTTGATGCGTCTTTATATTCTCGTCTGGAACCCCCCGAACGCTGCCCGAACGCGCCGCGAAGTGATCTGCACTCGACTGTTCTGGCACGCGCAACCGAGAATTTCTTTGCACCGCAAGTGGTTAACCGTTTGACTGCTACGCGGCGCAAAAGCGCTGCGTTCATTTGTCTCGAAAACCGCGGCGCAGCGCTTTTGCGCTGCGTGTTTCAGTGTTTCTTTGTTGCTCCGTTTGTTTATTTTGTTGTTTTTTTATTTAATGTTTATTTTTTCTTACTCACAATCACAATTAATATTGTTTCTTTATAATACGAAAAGAATTATTAAAATTGATTGATATTTGTCTAAATGAGAGTGTTTTATTTGACAACATCAAGTCAAAATATGTCCCGCAGTTTTCGTGCGTTCTTGCAAGAATTGCTTAGCAGTCAAACGGTTAAATTAAATTTTCATATCGACATTGTCGACAAACTTATGAAAAAAAGAATAATTTAACGTTACTTAAGTAAAAAAAATTTTGATCAATATGCTAATACACGTTTTCTATGTAACTTTAAAGAATAAATGAATCAAATTACAAAAGGAACAACCCCTGACAGCTGGACAAGCTATAATTTCCCACTAAATACTTGCATCCACTGTGTAACGTTGTTTAGATCTAATGTCGCATTAAAGTTCAAAAGCGTCAGTCGCACGTTTCTACGCGTGAAACAACTTTACGATCATCATCTCACACTTTAGACGACCTTCATATTCCACACTTGAGCTACTCTGTAATCGCAACGACGAACGCGATCAATTCACCTAATTCGTTCGTGTGAATATTATTCGTGGTCGGTGACGCCGGATATAAAGTGGTCGTAAAATTTCAATACCGAATGTCTTCTAATTTTTATTCTTTTCTTTTTCTGTTCATTCTCGCAATCGGTACGATAAATATAAATCTGAAACAGATCTAAAAAGTCAACCGTGTTCCTTTTGGTTGATAAAGTGCCCCGCACTTCCGAATACGCAGACTGTAAGCTCGCAAATTGTCCGCGACCGGCCGCGTAAATCATGCCAATATCTAAATACTCTAATTATAGGTGCCGGAACCGTGGAACTTTCTTAGCACTCCCCGTTCGAATCTTTCGTATTAAGAAGCACTCTTAAAGCCCGTGCGCTCGAAAACGGTAGTTTTACAATCGCTATAAATTCACTTATGAAACGATCCGTGTGATAAATTTCCCTCGTAATAGCGCTGCATCGAGTTCGGGATTTTTGGTGAAATTTTGAAAAATCTTGAAAAAATGATCGTAGTCGCGAGAAGTGTGAAAAGGGAATTTCGTGAATTCCTTCGACAATACATAATCAGAAATTTAATGTTCTTCCTTTTATAGCGGGTTCCTGAATTTTCTTAAAATGATAATCTTAATTACTAAATGAAACTCCGTGAATCTTCGTACAAAACTTGAATAAATGTTTTGAAAAGAATTAACAATATTACGTGATAATTGTTATTAGAAGTTTGACAATTAGGGCTGTAAAGATTTGCAGTCTGAACCCCTTTATATCAGGGATGATAGAATTTACTCAAACTTAAAAGAGCTAAATATACGTATATAATTGTTTTTGTTGCAGTAAAATTATTAATACATATTTAGAAATTAAACGTCCTTCGATTTTAATTCGAATGAAATTCACTTCGTTCAGGATTATAACAACGTGTCAGACTGGTGACACAGATTCTGGCGAAGATGCGACAAAAATAGTTACACTAGTAACGAGAATTAATTTTATCCTAATGTAATTAATCTACAATAATTAAGCTTTTCTTACCTAACACAGTACTAAAACAGCTGACGCTTAGGAGACAGCAAAAAGAATCACAAGTCAAAGGGTTGAACTGTGAATATTATTTAAATTACATTATATTACGATACTTTACTAGAAATTTTAGTGTCAATAAAAAAATTTCGGTATCTAAAATTATTGTTGCATATAGCTCAGTCCTATTATTAACGTTAACATTAAGACCGTAAATTCCAATAAAAAGGGAACCAAACGCATACTCTTTTCCCAAATAAATTCATCTCTACGAACGAATCACGCTACATCGAAAAGCGTTGAAACGTGGCTGAAAAAGTGTTCTTCCTCGAAAGCTTGACGAGCGGAAGGCCGCGAGGCGCGTCTAACGCTTCGAGCATTCCTCGCCGCTCGCAATTCTCATCGGTAGCTTACAAAGGGAGATGAACTGCCGCATCACTCCGGCCATTCATTCGTTTTCTACGCCTCTGTACTTTTGTTTTCGCGCGCCAGATGATATAACGCTAAAGTAAATTGCACACTCTATTCTCGGTGTAGGGCAGATATTCTGAATACACAAGCAACCGCTATTTTCTGACTGCGTGAACAGGCTCGCACAAAGTGTAAACCGGAACGAGAGCAAAAAGTCCTTCGGGGACGATAATGCGCTGGCAATTTTCAACGGAGAGATTCGAGCGAACTTCTACCCGCCGCGAAACTGCAACCTACACTCTCGTCATTTTCGTAACGTAATTAAGCGATTCTGTTGCGTGCAAATATTTTTGCTTTATTTTGCAAGATGCGTTTTGCGCGGAGAAACTTTGTTGCTGGAGAAAAGCGTGATTTATCTTTGGGGGAGAATTAGAAAAAAAGGAGAAAGCTGCTTTTTTGTGTTGTTGCAAGTGAAGAGAATATTGGTCATGTGAAAGTATGGGGAAAAAGCAGGTTAAAGTGGGAAAAAATGATGCGATGACTTGATGTGATTTTTACGAGTTCGATTCAATCGTTG